GAGAGAGAGGGAGAGGGAGATGTTAGAAGATACTGAAAGGGACTCTAGTCCAGTGTTTTCATTTTTGGAAAATTAGTGTCATGTTTCTGCATTTTTGGAGAATTAGTGTCATGTTTCTACAATGCTTTTCAATTATGATTACTTGGACCAGGATTTACTTGTGGGCACAATTGGTTCAACGGAAATCTCTCTCCTGAGAAAAATTTCCTAGAAATCAGCTTTATACCTTGCAGGCTACGGATTTCAAATCCATAGTCAATGCTGCTGCCAATAGGATATACACAATTGACAATTGAATTCAAATTTCTCCATTACTTATGTGTTCTAATAGGGCAAAAGAAGGCACGCCTCTGAGCTACTCAGGAATAGTGGAATAATGGCATTGAGTTTCGGGTAAAGTTAAAATGAGACCTTGGATTTTTTGGACACCACCAGAAGAGGGCACTTCAAATTGAACTTTTATGGAAATTCAATGGGCAATCCTGGTTAGCTGGCATTGGGGGGTTTTACACAATAGTTCGGGTGTTATCTTTTTCCTACTCTGGTTCGTAGGCATTGCCACTGCAAATCATGCCGAACTTGCTTCGTTATTACAAGGTTTAAAATTTTTTTTATCCCATAACCTTGGTCAAAGTTGCATATTTGAAGGTGATTCCTTAAATGTAATTGGTTGGTGCAAGAAGGAACACTCTATTCCTTGGAAGCTCCGGTCCATCTGGCTGGAAATTTTAGATCTTTCTCTCTCTTTCAGTGTCTTTCTCCCATGTGTATCGTGAGCCGAATGTCCTTGCTGATACTTTGGCCAAAGGCGGGGCTTCTCTTCCCTCTACTTTGCTCTCTGCTGATGTAATATCTTTTGGTTGATTGCTTTAATAAAACTTTGGAACCTTTGTCAAAAAATAAATAATGGCATTGAGTTTCTACAGCCTTTGACTTAGTTGAAAGTCACTTCCATGAAGCCATTAATTTGTAATGCATCAGGACTCTTTCTGCTTTCTTAGGTTCCCCTTTCCCATGAAACAAACATGAGAAAGCAGCTTATTCAACATGAATCACCCGGAGAAAGAATTCCCATGAACCAACATGTCATTTATTTGGGATTGTTTTCGAATGATAATGAGGAATTGTGATGATCTGGGTTTACTCTTGCCTCGGAGTTTCTTTTTTGAAGGAACCAAACACAGATGGTTCTATTTGGACCGGAAAGGGTTTTTGGGTTTTGTTCAAGAATGGTGAAGTCTGCCATGGATGAAGGAATTTAGAATTTGTTTTGGGTTGAGTTTGCCATGGATGAAGAGATCAGAGCTCTCAGCAAAATTAAAAGAAGTGAAGATGACAGTGATCTAAGAGGTGAAGCCAGTCCAATGGCTGTCTACCTTTGGGCGGATGATGATGATTATTATTATTATTATTGGAATCTGTTGGACGGATGAAATATTTTCCATATAAAGATCTCAAAACAAGTTCAGATCATATTTTGGCTCAACCATGCCCCTCCCCCCATAGGTACCAAAAGATCACATACAATTTCTACTGCATTTAACAATTTCTATTCTACTTAAATAAGCAAGCACTTACATGCAGTATCCTCAAAACACAAACAGAGAGTGAACACTAGGGGGAGATATGAATTAAAGTGCCTCCTTGATCACCCACCCAGTAAGCTCCAAAAGAATGAACTTTATGAACAATACCAATAGTTGGTTTTGGGGGGCACTTTCAAATACAAGCACCTAAAAATATATGGGATACAATAAAACTGTTTACCTTTGATGCAATATGGTCAACAACCATCCCTGACCTTCAGATGTGAAATTGAGCGGTTGGATGAACACTTGTTCACGCTCAAAACTTACGAAATTTTTTCTCAACCTATGTACAGGAAAACGATAAACCCAGCCATCTAATTTTCATCTAATGAACTCGGATTTGTGGGGCCTTTGTGTATGAAAGGTAACGGTCTTCATTGTATACACATACAGTGCCTGATGTGTGGGGTATCAATGTCGAAAGGTCTTCACAACCTGTTCTATCCTTCGCCGGCAAAAACTACATACAGTGCCTGATGTGTGGGGTATCAATGTCGAAAGGTCTTCACAACCTGTTCTATCCTTCGCCGGCAAAGTGGGCAGCTTGTCAAGTGCGACGAGCATGATGTGCAACAGCACATATGACCACACCTGATTATACATACTCACTTAGACACAATAGCCACCATAATTCTTTTTTGTTTTGATAACTCAAAAGTCAGCAATTAATAATGGACTCGATACGACACTTCATCTTAGTATTAAGGCGCTCTCGCCTGACATCCAACATCCAAGCTTCCATAGGCGGAGAAGTTGAATAACTGTTCCCACCAAAAAACCATGCGACTTTAAAAGTGGGTTAGAGCCCATCAACACTGTCTTTGAATAAACATGGACATTGTATCTGGGGTCTGAGAACCGCATTCCATATACATAAAGGGCGCGGTTTCTATATGGTTGCAACCTTAAACAATCCAATTAAGGCGCACCTCGCAATTTTATCATAACATGTAATTTTGTTGCAAATTTTTTTTAGGATTATCTTAAAAACTATTTTCATATCTAACTAGAAAATTTTAATTCCAAAAATGGTTAAAATCAATTAGATCTATAAATATACGAAAATATTGAAAATGGACGGTCTAAATAATGTATTGCAAGATGCACTATTTTTGGGACTCAAAAACTTCGTTTTTTTAATATTCATACATCACGATGTCAAATGATCAATTATTAGGTTTTTCAACATTAAAACAGCTTTTCCACTAGATTTTTGCGGTGCATCTGTGATTCTACATTTAAGGTTGCAACCTTATATAAACTTTTCCCATACATAAAAGGTATAGAATATTTTTCGCACTAATTACAATGGTAGAATGATCATCATCTTAGTAATCTTCACTGGCACATGCCATCAAAATGATCGTCAAATGATAAATATGTGCATGGAATGATTAGCTTACATTTTGGTGGTTATTCAAAAAGAACTTTGGTATGTGTCTTAAGGATAATTGGCTTGGGTTGTTATTTTTACCTTGCTTAAATGGCTCATTAAAAGCATTTCCGTCCTTTGTTATGTTAAAAATTGGCATTTTATAGGTGGTAGTTTTCGCCATTTGCCAAAGGCAAAAGTGAGAATAGCGCATGAAGCATGGGTGTTTATGGTGCTAACATCAGCAATGACATATATTTAATGATCAATAATATTATTCATGCTCTGTAGTAACATTTGGTGAAACTTCACTTATCCATAGAGTAGCGAACTGTTAGCCCATATTAGGATTGGTGGTAAATACAAGTAAAGGTCAGAACCTAAGAAATCAAATAATCCAAGTAGACTTTGGGGAAATGAATGAACTTACGGCACAAAAACAGCATTATATTGTTGCTCCAGGCATATCACACAAAGATCAGGCATCATGCATTCCCTTTTCATGTTGGGTTCTAGGCCATCTTCAGCTTTCCCATTAGCCCCTGCTAATATAATGAAACCAATATCAAAGGATCAAGAAAAACTGCAAAAGAGAGATTTTCAGAAATAAGAGCAACTTCAGACTTGCAAAATTTACCCTGGTTATCTAGCTCTGATCGCTGAGCTGCTGCAAGAACCCTGAAAAAATTAAGAAAAATATTAGACAAGACAAATGGGGCAATCAAAAAAATATTTACACAACTGAGAAAGATTCATGATGCCTTATTGTTAAATATCTGAAAGAAAAATCACAAAGCAAGTAAGTTGTGTTGAGGAGATCCAGACAGATCGGAAAGTACACACTTACCAAGCCATGAACGTCACATACAACAGAGGATTACTTAATTTTGAAAATATGCATTTTTTTTTCCAATAAAAGCAATGCAAGCATTACATTACAAAAAATTCTAAATTTCCAAATATTTTATGTAACCAAATGATCCTAAATAATATGTGACAATGAAAGAGTTCTTTAGAAAACACATTTGGGATTCAGCATCTTTGCCGAGTAGTTAAAGCATGAGGCCTACAACACAAGCAAAAAAGTTTCAAGCTTCAACTTCAAAAATTAGTGATTCTTCAAGATATTAATGTATAATGAGTCATTCCAAGCATTAGTTGTTTCATTCCAGAAATTCATTTGTTCATATTTGTTGCTTCAAAAAATACATACCACATATAGCCTTATATAAAAAGGACATGGATTCCAGAATCTGTGCCTGACTTGGATTCGAAGAATCTGACACACCTACCTATGTTTTGCCAAGTCCATACGTCACATACATATTATATATTTATAGACAAAATTCCTTTGTGATCTCTTAAAATAAAATAAATTTTAAAAAATAAAACATGCCCATCCAAATCAAAGACTTCAAATGATAAGGCTCATGTGCCTATATCTGTCTTACTAAATGGACATATGTGACTCACAATGCAGACACACGTCTTACAAAACTGGCACACACCTAGTTCATCCAATCTATGGACTCACATGTCCACATTGCAGACCAAAAATTGAATTTTTTTCCAACATGCAGGTTGATACAGATTTTTGGTGTCTGTATGTACGTTGACAAACATGTCTAGTACGTCGGTGAGTCGGATTCTCCCCTACGCACACAACATGCATATCATTGTTACATTGCATATGACGGAACTTGAGTGGGGTGGACTAGGATGTGCTTAGGGTTCTTGTTGGGACTCAGCAGTGAGCATGTGGAGTCAAATCCTTCCCAAGTAGGTTTAACCTTTGAATAATGCGGTGCCCCAAAACTTGTTTTAAGTCCCTGTACAGAAAGGGTGAAAGGTTATTAGATAAGGCTGACTCCATGGAGAGGCCACTTTCTTTTACATTATGGAAGCATTATTCATTTATTCTCATTAAAGAAACATTGGTCAGCAAGTTTCACATGTCCCTGTATCATATTAATTTGATTTTATATGTCCATCATATTCCGCATGTCCACATAATTTGCAGGAAGCGAAGAGATTGGAACATTCCTTGTGCATTTATAGAGATCTGGCATTTTTTTCCCCAAGCTCTCTTTCTTGGGTAATTACAGTTATAGATATCCTGCAGTCTTCATCTCGTTTAGTCCTAGGATACTGTTTCAAGACAGTCGTATTTATGGGGGTCCTGCTGTGTGTCAATCTTCTGGGGAATTTCATAAAAGAAAAAAAATAGGATCTCTACGTAACATAAACTAGGTATTGAATGTAAATTGAGTGGTTAGAACCAAGTGACAACAGTTAAGAAAAAATCTTACCTTCTTTGCAGAGCCTTGCGACGCCTTCTTTCAAGGAGATAACTAACCACATGCTTTGCCATCAGAAAAGCACCAAATACTGTGAACCCCAAGGAAGCAAACCGGTACCACCTGATGTAATAGCAACCATAAAACAAGGTCTACATTTATGCATACCTCTCTCTCTCTCTCTCTCTTTGTGTGCGTGCATGTCTGCCTGTGCGTGTGCGGGTGTGTGTGTGTGTGTATGTGGAAATTTTGATTGATAACAAATTCAAGAATTACCTTGACCATTGACCAAGATTGGCAATAAGGTCATCGATATTCTTCGGTGTCACATAGAATGGTCCTTTATGGGGTCGTTGTATCCTAATTGTTCCAATGTCATCCTTAACAGCCTATGGCAACACAAAACCAAATCAAAAAGGGAGAAGGAAAAGCATAACTACTACAAGCACGACTAGGAATGTAAACATCAATCTCTTGCTGGAATAGGAAAGTTATAATTGACAACTTTAAGGAAACAATTATAATAGACTCATTCAAAGTTAAAATATAGTTCAAGTACTACTGCAGTTCAATAACTTCTAACCATAGCTTAGTCAAACTTTTATTGTATACGTTTATCGTATACGGAGCACCCAAAAATTGTGGGATGCCATTTTTTTGATCTTTATGTAAACCTTTATCCTATGAGGCTGAAGGACAAGTTCTATAGGACAACGGTGTGACCAGATTTGCTCTATGAGTACGAATGTTGGGCGAACAAAAAACAAAATACCCATAGAATAAGAATATCAGAGATGAGAATGTTGAGATGGATAAGTGGCAAGACAAGAAAAGATAGAATTCGAAATTAATCTATTTGAGAGAATTTAGGTGTGGCACCAATAGGCGATAAAATGCGAGAGAGTAAACTTACATGGGCTGACCAGGTGTGGCGTCGACCAAGTACAACACCTGTTAGGAGGTGCGCGTTAATTCAAGTGGAAGAACTTAAAATGACAAGGGGTAAGCCCAAAAGGACATGATTGGAAGTAGTCCGAAAAGATATGGGGACTTATGGCCTCATTGAGGATATGACCTTTAATAGAGTAGAATGGAGAACCAGGATTCATGTAGCGGAACCCAATTAATTGAGAAAAGGCTATAATGATGATGATGATGTAAACCTTTATCCTATATATAGAGTTCATTTTCTTCAAAAAAAAAACTTCATATAACAATTTTGCTAGCATAGTGAAAACAAAAGGGCTTTTGCAGAGAAGAATTTCATGAACTTGGGGAAAAATTACCTCCCCAACAACCATCAACGATGTGCCTGTGGGAAGAACTCTTTCGATCCTCTTTACTCCAAGCATCTGCAGCAACATAACTTTGCTAAAAAGATTGATAAAAAAGGACAAAAGCTTTTCTAAAAAGAAACCAAATTGGTTTAATAATCATTCTGATCTTCCAAAAATATCTTAATTAATACAAGAATACACAAACCTTGAGGCCTTGCAAATAATCCAATGTTCCACGCACTAAAGAACGCCCTGATTCCTCAAAAACTTCACTGGCAACAGATAATACCAACCCTGTTGCGCCTCGAGCACCAATGACAACGACACGACCAGTCCCATCATCCTGTGAAGAAACCGATTTCTAAAATCAGGATTCAAGAGTATCATACAGATAATAACAATGCAACCATATCCATATTTACCATAGTCATGAAGAGGAAAGCTACAAACATGGACACGAACTTGAAATGGTTTGTTTAAAAGGATATTAACCTAAGCCATATCGAAGCACCCTTCTCTCTCTCTCTCTCTCTGTCAGAGTTGGCAGTGGAAAAACAAAGTTCTTGGTTGCCAGCAGTGCCTTCCTCTCTCTTCAAAGAGGGGTGTGTGTGTGTGTGTGTGTGTGAGAGAGAGAGAGAGAGTGAGAGAGAGAGAGAGAGTGAGAGAGAGAGAGAGAGAGAGATAAGGTGGAGCTGAGATTAAGTGAAGCTCCAACAACTGTCTGTCGAATATGGCCCCAAATAGAGGGAAATAAACCAAACCTCCTAAGCTTGATAGATGTAGATTAGGTCAAATTGGGGACAAAAAGGGTGTGTGTGTGTGTGAGAGAGAGAGAGAGAGAGATTCTACGGATGTATATTTTCAACTCAATCTTCATCAGAAGCTGCTCCCAACTCAAACATAAAATTAAACAGAATCAATATCACAACAGCGTAAAGAGGTTAAAACAATTACCAAATACCAAGGAACCTCTTTACTCATAGAAAGCATCAAGGCAGAGTCTTGTATCCAAGATCCAGTGTCATTGTGCTTTAGAAAGTGTTGTTCTGCCTGTAAGAAAAGTCAGAATTAGACACCCATTTCAGCTCATTCAACTTCAATACAGAAGAAAAAAAAAAAGCCTAGAAATGCATTCACATACCGTTTCCTCTAAAATTACCCCTCTTAGACCACTATGCTCACAGTGAATTGGGGTATCTGACCCTACTCGCCCCGAAACAGTAACAACCAGTGGTAAAACTTTACATGCAGTGTCAAGAAGTAGTGCTGCATGCATGAAGTTAGAAAACCCACCTTTAGTTTACTTCTTAGCAAATAACAACCACATTAACTATACAGTTGCAATGGAATAGTCAGGGAGTCCAATTTCAGCAGCTATGACTTCACGAAAAAGTTTATATCTATCACAAATAGTACATGAACTATGAAATCAGTTCCATGCATTTCATATTTCCTTGTTTATTGCTCAATTTTGTACTTCCCATGAGGAGGATAATGTACTAAGCAGCTTTTCTACATGAGATATTCCTAAATGAATTGCATTTCCAAAGAAATTTTCCATTCATTTGCAAAAAAAAAAGAAGCTGCATTACCAAATATGAATGTACAATGAATTAGGATTTCCCGCTGAGAGGGAAAAATAAACAGGTTAAATAACATCTAATATCTCACAAGGACATACTTAATAATCAAAAGGAAAAACGAGGATACATTGTGGATTAAGATTTTTCCATTCATAGATTAACATAACAATCGGGCATTTCCAAGTCTGATAGAAAGCCATATAATAGAAAGCCCCATACATCCAATAATAATTTCAAAGGAAGAACATAAAAGAGAAACAGTTTAAATCGGACTTTCAGGAATTAATGTAGACATATCAAGATCACTAACAAAACATACAAAAGGTTGGAACTTTCTGAAAATGATAGATAATATAATAGGTGTTGTGAGAACAATGTGAAATGTCTTTATTTAAAAACAATAAAGTTTATAAAACATATTACAGAAAAATAGAGAAAAGAAAAACAACTTTCCCACATAGCAAATTAGACTTTCAGAGACCATATTAACAATCCAATCCACCAGAAAATAAAAAAAATAGAAAAATAAAGAAAATTTGGAAATTTTATATAAGCAGGGAAACCCACTCACCCAAGTCCTTCAATTGGTTAACAATATATTAGACTTTCAGAGACCATATTAACAATCCAGAAAATAAAAATAAGACTAGAACAATCTATAACAACGGAAACCCACTCACCTAAATTCTTCAATTGGTTACACAGCAAATTTCACTTTCAGACACCATATTAACAATCCAATCCACCAGGAATAAATAATAATAATAAATAAATAAAAAAAAAATAATAATAATAGTGAAAGATTAGGAAAAATCATATAATAAAAGAAACCACTTACACAAATCCTTCAACTGGTTAACCCTAGTTACTGATTTGAGAACATCTGCATCCCTGCACAAAAATACCAACAATAATAAGATCAAATTATATAATATAAAATTCAACAGTTCTAATTAAACAAGGATAATGAAAGACTAAAACCTAATAAATTCAGAAAAATCTTAATTAAAAGAAAATGGGTTACCTTCCACTGTTCCTTCCAAGAAGATAGAGCGCAGCTGCACTGAGACAGCAACTCAATCCACCCCATGGGATCATCCTCAATCAACTTCTACTTAATTCTCACTGTATTTTCCCAAAAAATTTATAGCTTATCTCAAGAAAAATCATTCAGAAAGAAGGGATGGGATCATCCTCAATCAACTTCTACTTAATTCTCCCTGTATTTTCCCAAAAAATTTATAGCTTATCTCAAGAAAATTCATTCAGAAAGAATGATAAAACATCTAAAATAGAAAAAAATGGGACCTAATCGTGAGGGAAAGGTATGAATAAAAGTGAATAAAAAATGCAAAGTGTGAAGCGTTATTTTTTTTTTTTTCAGAGAAGAAAATGAGAGTAAAGGGTTGGGAACATGATACCATGAGTTTACGGGAGGAAAGCCAATATAGTAAAGCAGCTTGGGGATGACGGTAATGTCCCTAATCTTTTTCATAATGACTGAACGATATTTTGTAATTGAAATAATATTTTTTAAAGGGAAAAGTTTATATAGAACCGAGGCTGTAAACAATCAAATTAGAGCGCACTTCAAAAATTTCACTAGAAGAGCCTTTTTTGATACTCAAATATCTTCAAATTGATCATCTCGACATCAAGATGTATGGGCATGAGAAAAAAACGGATTTCAAGTTTTGAAAATAGTGCATCATGTAATGTATTTTTAGACCATCAATTTTCAAGATTTTCAAGTTTTCATATATCTGCTCCATCTACACTATTTTTTAGGATTTAAATTTTATAATTAGAGATGAAAATATATTTTAAAGCTATTGCAAAGATTTCTAATATTGAAACCACATTTATCGACATTATTTGAAGGTGTGCTCTACATCGATTGTTTAGAACCCCGGCTCTATACAAACCTCACTCTGGAAAAGTTTATATAGAGCCCTGCTCTAAACAATCAAATTAGAGCCTACCTCAAAAATTTCACTAGAGTAGTTTGTTTTGATGCTCAAATATCCTCAAATTGATCATCTCGACATCAAGATATACATATATGAGAAAAAAATGGATTTCAAGTTTTAAAAATAGTGCATCTTGTAATGTATTTTTGGACTGTCAATTTACAAGATTTTCATAGATCTGCTCGATTTACACTATTTTTTAAGCTTTAAAATTATAACTAGAAATGAAAATATATTTTAAACTATGACAAAGATTTCTAATATTGAAATCATAGTTCTCAACACTATTTGATGATATGCTCTACTTCAATTGTTTAGAGCCTCAGTTCTATACAAACTGCTACCAAAACTCATAAATCTAAAACCTTCTTTAAAGATGAATTTGGAACGATAACGTAATTGAACAGGTCTATCGCTATACCAAAAGCTTATACTTTTATAATTAAAAAAATATGATAAATAATTCTATAAAACCATCCTCCATCTACCCATTTGTGTAGGACCCTAAAAGATCAACATTAAATTTAATAGAAATCTATAGAAAAGTCAAGTTCCACACCCATGTGAAAACTTTTCTAGAAATCGATGCCAACTTTAATGGTGATATTTTGGGGCTCTACACACATGAGTAGGAGAGGGTTTTATCGGATCATTACTCTTGAGAAAGTATATAATAAAATCATTTATTTTCGGTAGAAGTTTAGAAGTGAAAACTAGCGATTGGTTTGTGACATTGTTCGGGCACAAAGTTCAAAAAAATTTATTGAACTTGTTATATATTTTTAACCTTTCAAATTTTACATCTAATCGATAAAAGTGATTGTGACCTCCCTTGTATCAAAAGTGATCCCTTTTATAACTTACTAGTAGATTTGACGAAAATAAAAATAAATCAAAGAACAAAGGAAAATTGATATTATAATTTTAATGTATTTATCTAATGTTAGATGGAACTTAAAAATTATTTCTATAACCCAAAACATTATATCAAAATATCATAGTTTCGAGCACTTAGGAATTCATTGTTAAAACTTTGAAAAATAATCATAAGGATATTTTTATAATATAGAAACTTTGCTTAAAATAACTTCAATTTTAATATTTTCAAATCCTTCTCTCTAAACCTCCACCCTCTCTCTTCCGCCCTCCCTTTCTTTCTCTTTCTATATATTTTGGATTTTTTAACTTTCTAATTTAGTGATTAGATTAGAAAAATACACTTATTTAAGCTAGACATTTTAAGATCTCTCCCTTAAACTTATTTATCTTCTTCATTTTCTTTTCATTTATCTCTCTCCTCATGTTTTTTCTCTCTTTCAATATCCTCTCCACTTTTCTCCCCCTTAAAGATTATGTTTTCTCTCTCTTTCAATATCCTCTCCACTTTTCTCTCCTTTAAAGATAGGGGTTATGTCTCTCATACATGCTAATTTTAGGAGATTGAGAACTCTCTATTACATTCTCTCTCTTCCCTTATGCTTATTCTCTCACCACTTCGCTCTCTTTCACGCTCTCTCTCTTCTCTTAAAGGTGTTTCGCCCTCTTTGTGGGAATGTTTTCAACATCTATAGAATTAAGGTCTTCTTTAAAGGTGAGAATGTCTCCTACAACTTCTATTGAATTAGGGTCTCCCTCAAAGATGAGAATGTCTCCGCTAACTTCATAAAATTAAAGTCCCTTCTTATTTTTAAAACAAGTGTTTACTCCTTGAATATATTTACTAAAATAACCCAATCTTTTCTTGCTAATTCTTGCATAGAAATATGCCATTGACCTGGGTAAAGCTAAAGCAACAGTAATATTTATAACATGGTCCCAAGCGGATACTTGACATGTTCCCCCTCTTCCGGGTCCATCATAAGGGAAACAAAAACCTAGATTTACTTTATCAGGTATCAAACGGGAGCTACGAGCACATAGAATGCCTTTCAATGGTATCAACATGGTCACATGGATCGTAAATTCATGAATGTAGTGTACTTAACTCTGGCCTAATAATATAGTATGGTATATAGTTAAATGGTGTGGTTAGTATAAGATTAGATGTTTCTGATGGAAATTACATCTTATTACTTAGAATCTCACCAGAAAACGTATTTTAGTCGCTAAAAAACCCTTTGTCGCCTGAGAATCTATTTCTCCCTTGCTTATGAAATATGGATATCCAAACATGGTGAAAATATATCGACACTTAAAAATAGACAATCCAATCAAATTATAAAGTAAACTATTTTTAGAGCTTGAAATCTAATATTTTTACAGATTATACGTGTAGGTTGAGATGATCACTCTAATGCTCTACGGGCTCTTAAATAACAATCACAAGTGAGATTTGAGCTACGGATTTGAAAAACCAAAGCCCTATCCTAACCATTTCTTGTATATAGAGGCTTTGCCAATTTTCGAGCTCCAAGAGGACATCCTTTACAATATGTTTTTTACCTAACTGTAAGTATCTCATGATTCTCATCGGAGTAATTGATTTGAAATCTCATAATTCTAATTACCATCATGCTCCACAATATTTATTTCTTGATTTTTGAAGTTTTGAATTGAGAAAATTCAATGTTGCATATATTTTGGACGGCTAATGTTCTATGGAGTTCTGAGTAACTATTCCCAGAATTCCAGTTAATTATTAAAAAAAATGTTCTATTGGATCTTCTTTTACCTTACATTCTAAATTTATGATCTCCATGTAATCTTTTATGTTACTTAGTTTCATGACTTCATTACGAGAATATTTCAGTAATTGATTTGAGAACTCAGGAATTATAAATATCACCGTCCTTGACTATATTTAGCCGACCCCAATTACTTGAGAAAAAGCTTTGACGTTGATGGCAATTGTCGTCGATTACGTCAATTATATTTATATTTAGATTTCAAAGTTTACAACTAGAAAAATCTTGAAAAAAATCTCATTTGTCCAAAAGCCTGATATTTAGTGCTCCAAAATGCACATGCAAAGCATGTGGGATCTATCTTGTGTCGCCATTGAAGAAACCCTTATAGAATCTGGATGGAGCTTTCATGAAAAAACATACAAGTTTCTTCAAAAAATAACAAAAGAAAAAGATACAAAACCGCCTGGCATAGAGGTTCATAAACCCTGGCCCTGGCCCAACCCGACCATCAAGCTTATATTTTGGGCCCTCACCCCGGTCTTAAACCAAATTTAGCCACCCTGCCATTGCCAGCCCTGTTCGCCATATGTGCCTATATCCATATGGCCAATGCTCTGGGCCATGTCAACCATATCTTTGAGCAGTAATAAGAATGCTCAAGTCAACTAAACATGCATTAGTGTTTCAAAAAGTGCTAGGCGGTACCTAGGCGGCTGGGGATCATGCCGCTTACGCCAGACCCAGAACCTGGACAATTTTTTTTTTTTTGGGTTTTCTCTCTTGAAAATAGCCTTTAATGGATTTTATGTTTCAAATGAATCTAAAACCCACAATTTTGCCTCTTAATATAGCCTCTACTGGGTTTTAGATTTCAAATGAATCTAAAACCCACAATTTTGCCCATTTAATATTAAGGTTTTAGGTTTTAAATAAACCTAAAACCTACAATTTTGCACCTTTAATATTAAAAAAATGATCAAAAAATGCCCTGGATGGGGTATTGGCCCTAGGCAGGTTCAGGTGGGCGGTCGCCAGGTTCAGGTGGGCGGTCGCCAGGTTCAGGTGGGCGCCTAGGGTTTTCTACCTATTTTTGGCGCCTAGGCTTGGGCGGTGCGCCCAGGCCCCCTAGACCGCCTAGGCGCCCGCCCAAACGCTGAGCGGTCCGCGTGTTGAAACACTGACATACACCACCCCAGCACATTATATGGAAATTAAATATTTTCATAATATACAATAATAACATTTTTCTCTACATTTTGAAGGTGATTCTAATAAATGGCAAAATCTTTGAAATTTAAGTCAACAATGAGATCATTTTTTTCTACGAGGGGAAAGCTCTTGAATGAGGCACAAAAAGAGGATTCACAAAGCAAACCCAAAATCTTTGTGATGCACAAACTCATGTCACAGAAAGTGAAACAGCAGCAGATCTGAGTTTAACACCATCTTCTTCCCACTTGGATTGCAGAGCAGCCGCTCCGGCAATAATCGCCTACAACAATTGGCATTCTTTTATTTAACTTGAACACACCATAATTTCAAGTTTTAAATGATTCTAATTAGCCTCAGCTAGCCTCAGCTAGCCTCAGTACCTGAATTAGTTAAACGCTTTACATACTCTGGTGGAACCATGCTAAACAATTTTACTTTCTTTGATTCTTCTCATTACCCACTAAAATATACACGTTATATTCATCATGAGTTCATTTATAAAATAATTAAAATTTAAATGCTTTGCATACTCTGGAGACAATTTTACTTTATTTGATTCTTCTCATTATCCACTAAAATACACACGTTAGATTCATGAGTTAATTTTAAAAACAATTAAAATTGTGAATCAAGTTACATGAAACGGAATATTTAGCCAATGCTCAAGAGTTACTCAATGTTGTTGATTTGGAATCACGAGATGATGCCACAAATCATGTATTCATATTATTTATTTTATTTCATTTTTTATTTTTTTTACCTCCTTCACTATTAATCTTTCTGAAATATACTCTTGCCTCAGTTCAAAACCTTTCTGGCTTCTTTATCCTCGTATCTTTTTTCCTATTTGATGTAATTTCTCCAACTTTCATAGTGTTCGACAAATACCCATGAAAGAGAGAGAAAGTGCCAAAACTTCATGTGTCCAAATATTTCTTATGCCTAGACGCTTTATATATTTACGTAAAAGTTTGAGAAGATAATGCCTGCATAATTTGGATTTTTCTTTTTCTTATGATACTCTCTCTCTCTCTCTTTCCCTTGCCAATCCCAAACAATTGGGATAAGACTTGAATGATGATGACTTTCTCTTTTTTTTCTTCATATTTTTAGCACACCGCCATATTTGCAAAATGCATAATGTTGGAAAAGCATCAGAAGCATGACCAATACCACACAGGAGGAGACAGATAAAAAAAAAAAAAACAATGGCAGTAAAACTTAAACTGAAGAATAAAAAAGCTAGCACTAACCTTTCCACTGTTCACTGCAGCTACTAAAGCAACATGCTGGTCATCTATCTGGAACTCATAGAAGTAATAAGTCCTGAAAAAAAAATCCCTGAAACCTCAGATCATTGTCCGATGGGTCAAAATCACAAAAAAAAAACCAGATAATAAAAGGTATATCTTACAAATAAAGAATAAGATTTGCAATAGGACCCATTGCAACAGTAAAACATATTAGAAAGACTTTATTTTCTTATTAGGAAGAGCAAAAACCAGGTCTATCTGAAGTTCTTAGCCAGTGCTTTAAACGAGGCTCGGATCAGGACAAGTCTGAGTCACCCAGTTCAACTCCTCTGAGTCTTGTACAGATTCAGTCGAGTCTGTAGAAGAATAACAAATAAAGGCCAAAATAAAGCGGGGCTCAGACTCGGGACTAGCCAAGGTCCCCAACGAGCTGACTCAAGCGACTTTTGAGTCAGCTTGGCAAGTTTTAAACACTGATGGTGGGAATTAGCATGACACCATCTAATCGATGGATCGATGGAGTTGGGGACAGAGGGGAATCCACTGTTTGGGTCATGTCCCACAGATCAATTGAAAATGTTCGACTAAGTGTTTACCAGAATTCGGTGACTCGATCAAGTCCACTTGGCCTCCGCTGAGTAACCTGGCCTCGCCCTAGTGGCGAAGCTAGTTTGGGGGCGGTTGGGTGCCCAACTCACCCCCCACCAAAAGCCCCCCAAACAAAATAAAAAAAAAATTAATAATCTAAAAAATAGAAAAGACCACTATCTTAGAAATGATTTTTAGATGATTTGATAGTTTTTAGGATGATTTGCGATTTTTCTTTTTTTCCTCTTTTTATTTTTTTTGAAATATTCATGGTACAAATCAAAATTTTCAATAATACATATTTTATAGATTTTTTCAACTTCTTTCCTTCTAATGATTTTTATTAACTCTAAGTACTTTTCTGATTTTTTATTTTTTAGAAGTTTTTTATTTTTCTACATTTTAAAGTGGTGGGCATAACTGAGTTACTTGCCTTGGCCAAGGGCTGAGTACCTTGGCCTGGGCAATTTCCTAAACATTGGTCTCTACCATAGTCCAGGTAGAACCCATTCTACTTGATCATTCCTCTTAGGAAAATGATAACTTTTGCATAATCATAGTAGGTCCACTATCCCACACTCCCAAATGGAAGTTCACCAAAAATAAAAAATAGTGTACTCATGTTTTTTACTTTAAAGGTTATTTATAGAACATTTTGGAAAATTTCTTATACGTTGAGGAACAATATTAACAAATGAGAGAACCAAAATACTTACAATATCTTGGAAAACTAATTGGTCATATAACACTGAAGAGGGAACTATCATACACCTTAGCATGACACCTTTTCCAACTATCACTGCAACTTTACAACTAACATAAATATTCACTATTCTTCTTTATACAATACATATCAAGATGCAACTGATAAATAGTGTGAACCTAATTATAATTGGAGGAACCAAAAAAAAAAGACAGATTTCAGGATGAATGCAGTAATTCACCTGGGACCTCCTTCTTCCTTAATTTTCAAACTATGTGCAGAGTACAATGTTGCTCCCCCTGCAACAGTAAAAACCAAGGTCACCAGAAAATAAACAACAAGAGAAACTTTGGGAGATAGTATATAGGAAGCCTAACAAAAGAAAAAGAAAACTAACAACTAAAGTTTCTATAGTTCTGGATCAAAGATAATCATAAACCATAACATTGGTCATGCGTTTGGAAATAGCTTTGATAGAAATCGTATAAAAATTTCGACCTGGAACAAAGATTTTAGATGCTTCTCTCAATGAACCCAAATCGGTGATATCTTTGGCCTGTTGCAGCAAACAAATGGTCTATAAATAACATAAGAATTCAAAGGGCTTCAACTGTACCTCACATAGTGAAACTTCCTAAAGAACAATGTGGTGTACCTTAGTAAACTATTTAAAGCAAACTCGGAACCCCATAACCAGATGCACAAAAATGATAAAACAAAAAGTAAAGGAATTCTATTCCTTTTAAGTTTTAACATAGCAAAAAAATGGTCAAGAAATGCAGTTCTTCAATGTCTTCCAACCCAATAAACCATTTTCTAGATAATTCACAACAATACAGGCAACTAACCACCATTATACCTTCCTTTTCCTCTGACAATTTATACATTTTTCTACACAAGCAACTAACAACTAACAACCATTTATACCTTCTTCGTTTTTTTTTTTTTTTTTTTTACTTACATGGCATGTTGTATCAAATAACAGCACCAAAAAATCATATATATGCTGTTGCAGATGAATTTGACAGTTCTTGCAAAAGGTTTTGAAAGAACAAACCTCAAGGAAAGTAATCTTAAGCTGATTGGAAGGACGAGTAACCACACTAAGAACCTCTGATCTACACCAATCAACAAGAATGAAATTAAGCAGAATATTGCAATAAACACTATAGTTAAGATCTTATTTTTTGCAAGTTTCAACTTTGACGAAAGCAAAACTTTGAAGTATAAATCAAAACATCACCCATCAGGGGAAGCAAAACGCGCAGCAAACGTCTTTGGCTTTGCTCGATCTCCATAGAGTGATGAACCTGCACTGTAATCCTTACAAAAAGAGAATGTGTCAAATTTTGTTAGACTTCACAAAAAAATCAGTAATCCTTGAACAAGAAGCAACTGAGAAAAATGACCCCTTCTTTCAGAAATTATAATATGAAATCGTTGCGAGTTTAGAAAGGACTGAACCAATGAAAAACTACTACCAACAATGTACGAAGAGACCAACACAAAGGATGGCGTTTAGTACTTCAGCCTAAAAAGTAGGACGTCTAAATCAATTATCATTTCATAGTAAAATAACAAAATTTTAATGTATAGAATGAGAAATGTTTAACAATTATTACGTTGGTGTAACCAATTATATTCAAGTGGGATAAAGCTTGAATGATAATGAAGATGATGAATATAGTTGGTGCAACAGTAGACCCTATGAACTTCGCGTTAAACATCTTCGGTTCAAATTCCATGCTCTGTATAGACTTTAATTTTCCTATGTCCAGAAGTATGGATTCTGTGTCCAAGTGTCAAAAGTATCAATATGCAAAAGTAAGAGGTCCAAATGTCAAGGTAATACGCAAAAGGTGTCTGGTTACCTAAACTCAAGCATAGAAGTAACCGTGGTTCTCATTATATTCTCACATTTCCAGGATACTTTGGTCATTTTCTATCCAGCGGCAGTTGGAAGGAGGTTCGTTTTATTGGAAATATAAACAATCAACCATTTACTTTTAATACAAGGAGACGTGATCGTTAGATTTAAAATCAGTCACTCGAGGATGTGTTATTATTTAGGTAAAATATCCGAAACAAAAATTTTTTTTTTATGGTTGCATTGCACTTTTGAATTTCACATCCAACAGCAAAAAGTAATTATACAAAAACATAAATGGTCTCATAACATACAATCCCATTATCATTACTCTTTATATGATATTCAGGGTAAATTTGTCCTCTAGATGAAGATTTTCAGTTAATTAAATTTTAAAAGAAAACCGCGGGCAGTTAACTAACCGTGGTTTGGCTTAATCAGCTTTTAAGAAATCAGGGGTAGTTTCGACATGCGAGGGAGATTTCGCTAAATTCCATAAAAGAGCTTGCAGTATCGAAATCGAAAAGCACACTTTCGAAAACACCAAATTCCCGAAATTTCGCCAAACTTCCCGCCAAATTTCCAAATTTTCGCCAAACTTTCCCGCCAACTCCAATTTTTTATTTAGGAATTAAAGTATTTTTCCACAGCACAGTCAGTGTCGTAATTTTAGATTTTCGTTAAAATTGATTCTAATTTTCTCACACATAAAAAGCCTCCTTGTGCTTCCAATCTTTCAACAAAATTTCGGTGAAATTCCAAAATTTCAGTGAAATTAAAAAATTAGCTTTAAAAAGCCTACCCCAAGTCGCCCTGAAATAGCCAAACTACCCTTCTCAACTTCTAAATGACCAAATTCGACTTCCCCTTCTTCACAAATAACCCAGTACATTCTTAAATTTCAAAGCTGTCCCTCCATTCTCAGAACCAACCCCGCTTTTCACCGGAATTCTTAGAACCGCAGCACTAATTCTCAGCCTAATTTGCATGTCAATTCACATACCTCAGGCTCCATGATGTCCTGGAACTGAGGAGGAACTCGAATTGAGAACCCATCCCCAAAAAATCGATCCCATGTCCTCGTATTCGAAACTTGAAGAACTGGTTTTCTCGGAGCTTCTGACGCTGACGCCCCTTCGGTGGAGATGAAATCGACAGCCACGTTTATCAGAGACAGCGTTCCAGTACCAGTTACCAGAGCAAAGCCCCTTCTAGAAACCTTCTCTAGGGTTTTGTTCAAATCGGTTTTAGGTTTTGGAAATGAGCTATGTGCAGGTTCTCGGAAATGGGTTCTCGGGTTTATTGGCCCGCTGAATTGTGTCACAGGGTTCTGAAAAATGCACTCCAAAGCTTTTCTACAATGAAATTTAGGGTTTCCGAAGGGTTTATAGTGAAGGTCGAAGTGGGAATGGAGGATTAGGGTTTTTGGGTCCGCCATGGCTGATGAGAACGTGTAAATATGAGAAGATAAGGGGCACACATGGTGGTCTGGGCTCCAGTGATAGTTACAGAGATTAATTTAAATTATGTTCCCATAAGGACATGTTTTCGCTCTACAAAGTCCCCAATACCTTGAACATCCTGACACCTTAAAATTTCGACTGAATTTCGGGTTCGAAATCTCGGAGAAACTTTAAAAGTCTAATATTTCGGCATTCTTTCGGCAAGCACTGGCCCACCTCTTCTCTCTCTCCCAATTCACGGCCACTAAAACGTTGCAGAGTCTCTCTATCCACTAATTCAAATATATGAACACTCTTTATCCAAAACAAATCCAAAGAACAAAAATTGAAAATGGATGAAAATTTGGGAGAAAAATCAAATCAACACGGTTGATAATAGATTGAAGCTTTGTAAATGTTCTCTCTATTAAACCCAACCTGAAATTTCTTCATTGACGACTAGTTTTCCCCGATGGAAACCATTGTTTCTTCACATTCGCTCTCCTCCCTCTTCAGTCCAAAACCCCCCATTTTCAGAGCTTCCACCCCTTCTCTCCCACAAATCAGACACTTTTCTCTCTCTACAGCAAAACCCACATCCCAAAATTCAAGAAATCTCTCTCTAGCAGCTTTACAAACACACCCAACTTCTCCTCTCTCTGACAAGAAGTGGGTCAACTGCATTCAGCAGGGCCTTGCAGCCATTGCAGTCTCTCTTGCTCTCAATTTCTTTACAGTTTCTCCTGCTCAGATTGCTCAAGCTTCGGAGTTTGATGTGATCAATGGAGGTCCACCAACTGAGTCTTATGTGGTGGATGATGCAGGGGTTCTTAGCAGGGTGACTAAGTCGGACGTTAAGCGATTGTTATCAGATTTGGAGTCAAGGAAGAAGTTCCATATTGATTTCATCACGGTCCGAAAGCTCACTGTGAGTTTTTACCAATTGGTTATGGCTTCCTTGTGCTTTTCTTCTGCTCTTTTTCCTCAGAGACTAAGAATTGAGCTCACAGAATCACATTAGTTTTTAATTTTAAGTTTATATGGGGATTCTCATTAACATCTTAGTGGTTTTGACCAAATTTGTTTACAATGATATTACTAAGATTATTTTTGTCATCATTTTGAGAAAATTGTTGTATGTGATTTGGCCAACATTTCATTACATGGATTTTTTTTTTTTTTTTATTACGTGGGGAATATTTCATTTGATTAGATTTGGTTTGTAAGAAGAAGACTCTTGTAACTTAGCATAGCAAAGCACAATTATTCTCAAATATCTAATTGTTTCTTCTTAATTTTATTTCCGTTAAAATCAAACTATAATATTTATTAATTCTGGTACTCCTTATGGGCAAAAATAATTAGTCCTCAGTGACTTGGGGTCCTTTTCTTTCTCTTCATAGAGAAAACATGTGGCTACTTGATTTTGGAATACTAACTTCTATAATTTGAAGTGAAGATGTCACATGGAGCATTTTTTTAGTTGTTTTCTTGTTGAGCAAATTGATATTAGTTGCCTGGTTTTGGCGCTTTCAGCCTCTATCTTTGCCCTCGATTATACCTGATGAAATTTAGATTACTGCTACAGTACTTCCAAATTTGAGTTTCTTATTTCTCTTTTTCCGTTCAAGATGAATTAATTGAACTTATAATTTTAGGGTTTAATGTTCATATAGTTGAATATTACACCAAAGTCATTGCCTATTATAGTTAGAAGAACAATCTTCTTCTTAATTTTGTGGTATCCTTTGTTAAATTACGTTTTCATAGGTCCTGTTTCTAGTTCTCTCCTTGAATTAAGAAACTCTTGAATTGGGGTCATAATTGAACTTGCATCAATTATACCAGAGTCTGTCTTGAAACAATTTAATGATGAGTTCATCCAATTGTGATGAAAATATGTTTGGCGGCTTTGGCCAATGATATGCTCTCATATTCTTGGGCATTTTGAAATGATTTTTTCTATAGTTCAATCATCTATAAAAGCCATTGTTTTTCTTGTT